CAGGTGAATATGATGTTTGTGATGTCACTCTGAGTGTATATCCACACCGGGCGCGAGCTTGAAAAATATGCCCGGCCACGGTGGGAATCGAACCTATACGACCTTTGGAATACTAGCCCAATGCTCTGCCAACTGAGCTACGCGGTCAGGACGGTTCAGTAAGTGATATTTCGGAACAGAATCTAGTTCCTTCGATACCAATGTAATCTGTAATCTAGTATACGTTTGTATTTCTTCGTATTTCGAACTTGCACTCCTTGAAGGCAGCCATATTGCCGAATATAAACATCCACTTGATGAATAAAATTTTCATATTTCACTCTATTTCCAACAACCAATCAAATCACTTCTGCCTCGGCTTGTCCCAGGGCTTACGGCAACGCAGCCAGCCGAGAAGCCCTGGGAACGAGGATGCCTTAGAGGTGAAAGGCAGGTGCGCTAACCACTTGGCCATAGAAGCCCCATATGCATGATATATAAAACTATATAACTTACATTTCCGTCAAAATCAAGGTTTGCAATTTCAACATAGCTACAACTAGTTACTTTGACATTCAATATTAGTTTTTCGTATTTTCAACACTTGGACTTAAAACTTCATAGTTAGTATTTTTGAAATTTACATATAATTTTCAACATAAAATTTGAATTTTAGAGGATATGCGGAAAATAATTTTGTAGATGGAACTTTCGAGTGTAAATTTTATATTGCTTTTCTGTTCCGGGTTTTCCATTTCAGCGTTACACGTTCTGGGGCCGGTTGTATAAAAACGTAATTAGCGCTAACTGTAGTTAGCGTTAATCACTGTAGTTAAATCCTAAACTGTAATTAGTTAACTACATGACTTAAGTGCGTTGCACAAAACGTAGTTAGTCGGATAGTTAACTAATCACGTAGTTAACTGTGCGTGGGGCTTGCGTGGGGCGTTTAAACACAAAATTACATAAAGTAAGCGGCGAATAACGACCGCTGACAGACATTTTCAACATGATTGTGGACTCGTATTTTCCAAATAGGCGGGAATTTTATTCAAAACACTAGAAAACAGTGAAAAATATACAAGAAAACAAGGAAAAAGCGCCACAAAAATCATAAAAGAATGCAGTTTTTCTATGAGATGTCTACGTTAAACCAAGGTATAGCTGTTTGGCAATTATATATCAGTGTTTCTTGGTGTAATGGACCATATTTCGTCTTCGAGAAATCGTCCTGTGCAAAAATATGTTCTGTGTTCGTAAAAACACCAAAGCGATAGCGTTTGAAGTTTATATATTGTCAGGAAACATTCACAGGGAAGATAGCGATTGAAAATCTCAGGTAAGCGTTGCTTTTCACTATTGTTTTACTGAAAAATGTTGTTCACTCCTATACAAACGCCATTTTTAACTACGTTTTGGACAGTTAACTATACCCTAAAGCATAGTTAACTTTAACTACTTTTTAACTGCAGTTAAGGCTAACTACCCTTTTATACAACCGGCTTAACTACGTGATTAAAGTTAACTATTTTTTAAGGCTTTTTAACTAGTACTTTTTAACTGCAGTTAGCGCTAACTACGTTTTTATACAACCGGCCCCTGGCTTTTAGTGCTAACCCTGTGAAAATGACTACAACATTCATTTTGGTGAAAAGAGGAACATGCTCAACGCGGAGAACTTTAGTATACGAATTGGAATCCTGGCACACTGCTTTAATTTAATACTAAATTCAGATAATAACTCTAATTAGGAGCTTCCTATACAGAATACGCCAATCTTGTCTGCAAACAATCGCTAACTAGTTTCTATTTACGTAGCTTGCATGTATGTCTCATACATCTCGTAACATAATATCCTATTTTATCTACTATTCCTCATTTCCCCCTGTTAATTGAACACCATAGCTAGATGCTCATTATGCTAATCAATTTATTCAATTTTGACTTCATTTTCTTTGCTCCTTCGAGCAATCCCAAGGATAGTTGGTAATGGAGAGTGATATACAAAACAAAGAAGACCACTAGTTCGTAACGTTTTAGAAAGAGCTGTGATTGGCCAAACTATGTTGGAAATGGCGTCATCCGTGCGGCTGTCCTTTAATTGATATCAGTGTTTTTCTTCTTCTATCTGTTTAATCTGCCGATCTATTTGGTCTGTCTCGGCAAATGAAAATGCATATTGAACTCAGATAATTATACAATGCTTTCTGGACGCTGTAACACAAAAAATATTGCCACAAATTACGTTTCTAGCTCTGTTTGTATTTGATTTACAATAAGAAGCAAACATGGTCAGAATCAATCAATGGAAGATGACGGCGAATTGTGACTATTAAAAAAAATGAAAGTATATCTGAACATGTTGTGCCATCGCCTGTGTAGCCGGACCTGCATGCAAACACGTTGAAATCCTGGTCCAACTCTCGAGCAGACCGCTTCAGCAATATATGGGACTGCACAGTCCGTCGCTAAAATACATTAGAAAACATCCGCATTTTAAAATGAGAGCGAATATTTCAATAATAGGACAAAGTGATGCTATAAAACAAGTGATTGAGAAAACAAGTGAATTTTCAAAGTTATAGTTGAAAAGTATGTTATTACGAGTGATAGGTTATC